TTAATTAATTAAGTTTAAATAATTATTTTTATTTCTAAAATATTATTACTTAATTTGCTTTTCAAAACAATGCATGCTAAGTTGCTGTTATTTTTTTTCATTAATGCTTAACGGTGTTTCTGTTATGTTTTTCCAGATTATATCATTGAGTATGACCAGTAATATAGGTCACGACATGATAACACGACTCGAAAATGACACAAATTTCACATATTAAGGTTGAGAAAAAAGAAGTTCGGGTCAGAATTGGGTCGACCTGAAATTGACACGAAAAACACCAGTCAATTTCAGATTGGACTCGCCTAACCCGAACACGATACGAAACTCGTAAAAAACTAAAAAAATATATTTTTTTCATTACATTTTTTATATTTTATTATAAACTTGTGATATCATGATACTTATACTCAAAATCTTATACTATTATTTGTTTAATTTTGATAAATGTTATTGTATTTTAGTGTGTTATAAATTTTAAGTTATTTCTAATATGTACAAAATAAAGAAAAGTACATAATTTTCGTGTCAATTTTGAGTTCACGGGTCATTTTCGTGTCATGTCGTATCAACTCGTAAAGTAATCGTATCGTATTCGTGTTGCGGTTTTTAAAAAATTTCGTGTTATAGATCGTGTTCTGATTAATTGTAAATTTAAAAAAAATGATCAAAACATGATACGTGACACGAATTCTCCCCTATCATTGAGTACATAATAAATGTATTAGTACTTTGAATCTCAATATCAGTTACTCAATCAACTTTCTGCATTATCTGGTTTCATTAAATTTAAAACGTGATTTAGTACCTGAGTGTGATATTGTGGTAGCTGTACATATGCAAGATTTTGGGGTTGTTTTTTGCATTTTGGAGTTAGAATGACTTTAAGTGATGATCTTGAGTTGAGTTTGAGTTGAAGTTATAACTTGAGTTTGTGTTTAGATGTGCATATTTGAGTTATGATTTGAATTGAGAATCTTTTTGAGTTTGTGTTTGGTTGAATCAAATCTTAAATTTGTATTTAGATAGTATTTTAATAAAAACTCAATGGTGATGAAAAATTTTAATAGGATATATGGGTGAGATTTTATTCGTCTTTTCGTTGTGAATGCATAGAAAAAAAATCATCTCAATCGGAATTAAAACGAAAAAGTTATGACATTTTTAAGAATAAAAAAAATATTGTTTATTAACTTGAGTTTGAGTTTATAAACTCGAGTTGAAGAGAAAATTTGAACTCGAGTTTAGTCCCAAACTCGAGTTCAAACTCAAATTCAAATTCCACTTTAAACTCAAATTTTACAAAAGAATATAAACTAAAAGTTAAAATAAAATTGTAACTCGAGTTTAAATTTTTTCCGAGTTTTGTTCCAAAAGAATTAACTTGAAAATGCGTTGTTGGTACTTTACTTCTTTATTTTTTTTACTGTTTCATGACAGTGTACGAAAGAGGGAGTACGAGTAAAAGAAATAAAAATAAATTAATTCATAGAAAAAAAATGAAAATAAGGAAACAAATGACGTGTTTGGAGTTGGTTTCGTTTTTATTTTTTCTTTTTTGAGAAATGACGTTTAGTACAATTAAAGATAAAAAATATAAATGAAAATGATTTTTTAGTTTAGTGTAAAATGAGAGAGAAATGAAAAATGACATTGAGTTATTTTTCATTTTTTGTTTCCGTTTTCTCTTCTCTCAAGTACAAAGAGAGAGAGACATTAATGAATTTTTTTATACTAAAAATAATCTCTTGATAAAACTACAAAATACATTTTTAAAAATGATTTTCGTTTGAGATTGAAAATATTTTCATTTCTATTTTCATATAAATAACAAAATCATTTTAAAATAAGTTCTAAACGCACCCTAAAACTAAAACTTACGTGAAGATGCTTCTTCCTTCTTGAATTTTATTTTACACTTCTCAAAATGTGCTTGATGAAACAACAAATGTCTTTCGGAAAAACAAATTAAATAATAATATCTTAGAAATAAAAAAATATTTAAAGTTATTTATTAAAATAATATAATTAGATAGAATAATTATAATGACTTTAACTCAACAATTAATACAATGCACATCACGAAAGAGAACCACAAGTATAAAAATCTTACATAAAAAGAATAGTCAAATGTTAGATTTTTATTAAATGGGTGTACTATATGAGTAAAATGACGTGGTATATACAATTTATTGAATAATTTCTCATATATATACCTATACATATATAATATAAAAAATATATAATTTTATTCATTTCACCCGTTTGAATTGAGAATATGAGTTAAAAAGTGAAAGATGATAAAAAATATTATAGTGAAAAATTATTAAATTTAAATTTTTATAAAAAAATACCATAGTAAAAAATTGTGATTGGAACGTAAAACGAGCAAAACCATACAGATTTAGTGGTCGTTCCCCAAAAGATTACCAAATTCAAGTTGAATGAACAATAAATGGAAGGAGTAAGCAGTTCTTCATGTTATGAATTTCATTTTCACAATCCCCAAATTAGACCGACAATATTACTGGGGTTGCACAGCTTCTGTCACAAATTATCATATTAATGACAAATGATATATTTATTTTTCATTTTAATCCCCTCAGTGCTTCACTGGCCGACTCAACAATGATTGTTATTGTCGTTTATTGCTTTTATTTGTTAGTGAAGTTCATTGTTTCACTTATATGACGTCTAGTTTATTCCTAAAAATTTGTCATTTTCAGGCAGTGGGGAGCCTAGGAGGGGGCTTCAAGTATATATGCATTATTAATCCATGATTTTAGATAAAATACAACAACTTTCGAGAGAAAGAAATAGTTGTTGTCATGACTCCTCTAATGATCAAACATTATAGAGTGCAAAAGCAATCTGCTTTTGTGTCAATGTTTCTGCCTTCTGATCTCCATGGCTTTTTCCTTTTTTTTTTTTTTTTTTTGGGGTTAAAGTACGCACACATATCTGTCCTAGAACTCGCTAGGCTTATTTCATTATTCACAGCTAAGCATATATATTATACATACACATATTTATAGGTAAATTCTTCAATGCCGTACTATATTAGAGTGATAAATGTATATTTCTTTTAAAAATATATATTTTTTAAAATATGTATAGGTATTTAGATAAATTATAAGTGTCTCTTAACGTTATACATATTTTACAAAGAAATATACATATTTTAAAAGAAAAAATACACATTTTAAATAAAAATATACATGTATCGCTCTAATCCGGTACCAGATTAGAGATAATTCCTATATTTATATAGGTAAGTATATATTGATACCCCATCTTTTCATTGTAGAACTATTCTCTTTTGAATGAAAGCTTGGTACTTTTTCCTTTATATATGGGCTCTCCACCATGCCCAAAAGAAACATTTATCTTCATGAATCTTATTCTTTCTTGGAGGACCCCGCAAACCACTCAACAAAGTTGGGCAACACAAAATACACAGGACTTGTGCTAGTGTACATTCTATGCATATCTACATGTACATTTAAACATCTTCACACATTGTCATGAACAATTATTCTTCCTACAAACAGCATCAACGGCCTTTTTTATAATAAAAGAAAAAGTAAAAACCATATATAACCACATATCAGTTTGTCAATAAATACTATATGTTGTTGGATGAAGAGGTAATTGTAATATAATCATACTTCTAGAAAGAACGGAGTAAAACTCCATACGACGGCCCAAATTATAAGAACTAAAAAATTAAAAATTTCCAATAACACCATTTAATAATATATGTTTTACGGGTTTGAACGGCATTTTAAACTTTTTTGTTAAGGTGCTTTCTCTTTCTATTCAAACGTATAAATGAAATGGACCAGTAAATTCTATGGTTAACAAATTATTCTTTCGGGTTTAGAACGAGATGTATGGATGTTTGTTATTTAGAAGATATATAAAAATAGGGTAAAATCCTCAAGACTAAATGACTTAAGTTACATCAGTCGAAACATGATGTTGTCTATAACAGCAACTAGCTATTGGAGGAACTAATTAATAACAAAAAACGTATGATTAACTTTATGTGAATGGGAATTCAGAAGAAAATGGAAGAATCCCATGTCTCACTCAGAATAGCTTAAATTAATAAAAGAAAGTTTCCAACTTGCAAGTGGAGAGGTTCATGGCTCACTATGTGCGGTGAAACAAGAGTAGTAGTGCCTATCTATCTTTGCACCTCCATTACAACAAGATAATTAAATGGAATTTCACATTAAACACAAAACCAAAGAAAAAGAAGAAAATAAAGAGGGGGGAAAAAAAAGTTAGCTGCTTTCTCTTCTGTCTCTATAACTAAAAATGGAGAGGAATTAAAGATGCTCAAAAATATTCAAACAGGCCCATGTTATTTGTTTTCCAAATGGACAGGTTTAGATGAAAGTGGTTCTTCCACATAAGAATCATGCCCCCCCCCTAAACTTTTGATTTCAGATTCAAGAAACACACTTTAATGCAAAAAAGAAAGCTTATTCCGTATAGCAGCCTTCCAAGTTCCAACCAATATATGTACCTTCTTTTAGTCCTTTTTTAGGGTATCAATCTTATAGAAAAGAAGGCCAAAGCAAAAGGGCAAAAAACAAAATTCACAAAAGCTAGGGAATGATATCATTAGTGGGCCTATGAAATATGCACGCTCTAAATTACCTATAAAGCCCTATATGGTGATTAAATTCCTCCTATCCTTGCATGTTAATTTTAGATTTAGAAGAACAAAAAAGCGTTAGAAATGGGATAAAATAGAATCTAGCTACATCTACCTTTCCATACCAAAAAAAAAAAAAAAAGGAAAAAAAAGAGTAAGTAAGCAATTGTTCTATCATATGATGAGTCTCCCAATTAGTTAAAGAGAGACCACAGAAACCACTCATTAATTCTCCTATATAATATTAATACACTACATATACGACATATCTATTAGTGTATATATATATATATATATATATATATATAACTTACAATCGACCCTGATCGAGGCCCCACCGAAGTATAATTATGTGCCGCGCAAAAATGATCATAATTCAAAGTGATTCTTTATCTTCGTAGTGACATTTGATGTGTCTTTATTGTTGATGTTGTCATTATTGGCAATCTTTTGGGACGACTTGGGGAAATCGAATGATTTGCATGGATCAGCCTCAATCAGCAACTGAACCACTTCTTTCATGGTTGGTCGGAGGGCCGGGTTCTTGTAGGTGCAGCGAATGGCGACGCGAAGGACTTGAATCATTTCGTCCTTAAAAGACCCCGACAAGCGCTTGTCCAAAACCTCCATGGCTCCTTCTCTTGTGTCCACTTTGTTGGAGACCCAGTAAATGATGTTCTTGTTCTCTCCGAACTCCGCTTCCACCGGCTTCTTTCCGGTTATCAGCTCCATTAGAACCACTCCGAAGCTGTAAACATCGCACTTTGTTGTTGCTTTCGATGAATATGCATATTCTGCCGCCACAAACAATTAGGATCAAATTTGATTAATATTCGATTTTATGAACTTTTTTATCACTAAATATATAGTAAAATAAAGTCAAAGTATTGCATGGAAGTATACTCCTATAATAACATACCGCTCTAGCTATTCCTCATTTACGGGGGTAAAAAGAAAGCACTTTTCTATCTGTGATCCTTACAAAAGAAGAGTAACAAGTACAAAACTTGATTTCTATGTTGATGAACACTGATTATCAGTGTACTGCACGTGTTAACACTTTTAGCATATTACAGACGTCAAAATTACGAAGGTACGAACGTTAATGATCGATGATGGTAAAAGAAACTCTGAACGGACGCCATTGAAATTTAATATTATTAAACTGATCGTACCATAATTATAGCTGAACAAAATTAAACAGCATGTAAATTTACCAGATGAGTTTAGAATATTCTCAAGTCCTAGCCGCTCCTTTTTTTTTCCTACCCCCCCACACACACACACACATATATATAAACTAGTGATCTACTCAGGAATTAATGTTAAAATTCGGTTAAAAACAAATAATATCCTAAGACGTTGGGTTAAGAAAATAAATAATTACCAGGAGCCAAATAACCATATGTGCCGGCAATAACAGTGGTGGTAGAATCTTTCCCTCCTCGAGCTTGCAAAACCTTAGCGATGCCAAAATCTGCAACCTTGGGCTGGTAATTCACGTCAAGAAGTATATTAGTAGACTTGATATCTCTATGAATGATGGGACGAAGAAGATCATTGTGGAGATAAGCCAATCCCTGAGCTATCCCCAAAGCAATCTGGTGCCTCGTAGGCCAATCCAAATGAACCCATCCTTTGTGAAGAGCGT